ATATTTAAAATATATATATATACACACTTTTATGGTATATATATTTTAGAGTCTCTGTCATTCATGCCCAGCGCTCAGAAAGGACCAGAATCCACCCAAAAAATGACCGGTGCCGTCACAAAAGCCATCGCTTCCCGTAAATAAAAAGTGACGCCTGCCTCGCCCTCTGGGCCATAAAATCCACGGAGCCGCCCCCGCCCTGACACAGCGCCTGGGAGCCCCAATCCGGGCTTGTTCTGAGATAGGGCGGGTGCAAGCGGAGCAGCGCTAGCGATGACTCCTGACCCCTCCCCACGGGCGGAGGCAGTGCCGGGACCAAGCACCCAACTGCTGCAATTTTACCGAAACCCACAGATACCCGACAATTTTGCAGAAAATTCGAGTGCATCCCAGCTGGACCGGCCGTTTTTCAGCGTGTTTACTTGCCTCGTTGAAATTTGCTCTCGTTTGCGGCGAGCGGTTAATGAGTAACTGCTCTCCTCCTTCATACACATGGTTAATAAATACGGATTTTCGGTAATTCTAATCATACAGGCTTCTTTGCCAGATTTTTAGATATTTTGCATGAATGAGGAGAGCGAGGCTTTCTATCAGCTTAACGAGCTCATGCAGAATTTAAATTAATTGTCATTTTCCCGGCGAGCCTTTAGCCTGAAACTCACTTCATGGCAGAAAAGGCAGTAGCAAATCGCCTTTATTACTCATTGTTGTTATTATTATTATTATTCTTTAAATAAATCCAACCACTCCAAATAAATAAAAATAAATTCAACCATTCCAAATAAATTTAAATAAATCCCACAAATGCAAACAAATCAAAATAAATCCAACCACTCCAAATAAATCAAAATAAATCCCGCCGTTCCAAATAATTCAGAATAAATCCCACAATTGCAATTAAATCAAAATAAATCCAACCATTCCAAATAAATCAAAATCAGTGCAATAGATTCGAATCAGCTTTTCATGAAAGAATTCAGATTTTCACTTTTGTGGCCCTGCTTCGTTCTGCGTTAGACCTCATCAGAAAAAAAATCAATTAAAACTTGGGGGCGATGCAAAACGCGGTGTTTAAGGAAATAAATAAACAAACAAACAAATAAATAAATAAATAAATATAATTTGCTGAGCAGCCACAGTGAGATTTCCCGCAGTGCGCGACGGTTGTGTTGCCTCTCCGCTCTCATTTTGAAATTCAGCGATATTTAACGTGAATATTAGATTAGCGCTTTAAAGGCAATATTAAATTATAAGTTTACGATTGACGTTGTTCGCTTGGCACCGCGAGCTCCGAGGTGTTAATTAAAGATTAAAACGATCCATGCCGTCTCCAGCGGAGAGGAGGATTCCGCCACCGGTTTGACCTTTAATTCTGGTTTCAGAGGTCAAAATTGTGTTAAATATCATTTTATGGCACTACAATCATGGATTTGGCTGGAAAACTGAAATAATCGTTTCCTACGGAAACTATTGTGTTACCACTGCCTAAAAATCTTACGCGTCATGGCAAGGTAATTTTTATTTTAATTTGCCACGAGAAACATCAATATTTGATGTCACGGCAAAAAAAAGTCAGTTTCGGCACAGCAGAAATTTTCCCGAATTGGTCAGTTTCAGCCCAATTTTGTACCCAAATTGAATTTAAATCAACAGGATGGACGTTGTCACGGCTCCAAGCACTCCCATGAGGAGAAAAATTTCTCCCAGCGGTGTTCAGCTAGAAATCATATCACTGAATAGACTAAATTATCTACCAAAAATATAGATATTTTTTTCTTTTTTTTCCCCCCATGTTTTCAGACCTTGGTGGCGACTTGGTCCGGGACGCAGTCGATCCGCTCGGCCGCTTCCATGCTCAGGCAGTCGGGGAAAAACTCTATGAGGTGGAGAAATGAAGGCGGTAATCGCCATAATTCAAAGAATCATAATAAAAATACTGTTAATTTCTATTATAATTAAATATTATCATTCTTCTTATTATTAAATGTCCTTTTAATGATTTTCCCAAATTGTTTCTCATCTTTTTGGAAGTCTCCAACCACGGAGATCACTTCCAACACACCTCATTTACTGCTGACTCTCCCATTTTACAAAATTCTGCGCATCTGCTCCGGAAAAAGGCAGAAAAATTTCATTTTTCCGGGTTTTAAACACTGAATTTTCTCTAAGATAAGCGATTTCTGATGTGCCGAGACAGTAAAAATACGACTTTTTTTTTTTTATGGTTTCTGTTTTTTTTCTCTACAATGGGACGTTGGCTCCCTCCATCGTATATTTAAGTGATGTTTTAAATGAATAAAATATTTAAATCGTCCTTTTTTGACACTCAGAAAACGAAGCAAAAGGCAGTGGAGGTGGAGGGCGGGGGGATAAAATTTGCCATTCGCTGGGCTCCGCCCCATCGCTTTCCACAGTTCAGCGCCGTCCCCGTCCCTGGCGCGTGACCCCGGTTCGCCTCCGGTTAATGATAACGTCGGGGTAAAGTCAAAACCCGCAACAAATTCCGCAGAGGGCAGCAGAAAAATGTTGATTGTCTTTTGATTTTTTTAAGGGCGGGGGAGGGGTGGGGGTGATTTTTCACATCCTTGAAGACTCTGAGCACGAGGGGCACTGAAATAACCCCGCCGCACCCTGGGGGCGAGGTCCCATTTCCGCAGATCATCAAATAATTACTTCTAGTTTTATTCATACCTATTATATGTATCTATATTTTCTCTATATTTATGCATAAATAAATCGTAAGTGCTATGTACTCTCTGTGTCTTGTATAATTTATTTTTTACATG